ATAATGTTGTAAGTAGAGGGACAGTCGACGACGAGGAAGGTGAGCAACTTTGTGGTCTGCTACGGGTATTCTCCGATTGTGATGGAAAGACCGATGGAGCCGATAGAGGTCACCCGATTTCCAGTAAAACCGACCAATGGGGTTTGGAGAGGGGACAGGCTTTCTTCCCCGACCTTGAGTAGGCGAAAGACATTTAGGAAGATGATGTCTGAAGAACTGCCATTTTCGACGAGAACCCGTCTGACTTTGTAATTGGAGAGGAGGGGTAGAGATGACGAGGGGGTCATTATGGAGGTAACGAATGCCTGTGCAGTCGGCCTCCGTAAAGGTGATGGGCTCCATCCACTACTTGGGCTGTTTGGAAGGGCGGTCCAATGTGACAACTTCTTTGTCTGAGCCCTGCCTTATTTTTCTGAGTTCTGCTCGCTGAGCTGAGCGGGATGGTCCTCCACAAGCAAGCCCGCCAGCAATAACTCTGATCTCTCCAACAGGAGGGGCGGGGTTACCTTGTGCCCGGGGTTGTTGTGGAGGGCAATCATGACCTTGGTTAGGTTGTGCGAGTTGCCGGGGAGGGGTGCGCCGGCGGTTATTTCTAATAGGTTTAGTCCTTTGCCTCTGCTGAGGGCGGGCTTCCGTGAACTGACTAAGACGTCCTTGATGTACCAAGCCCTCGACCTGGTCTTTGAGGTTAACACACTCCTCGGTATTATGGCCGTAGTCTTGGTGAAAGTGGCAGTTTTTGGACGGGTCTCACTGATTGAAAGGAGACTGTGACGGTTGGGGCCATTTTAGGAGATAATCTCGCTGGATCTAGTTCAGGACTTGTTCCATGGGGGAATTGAGGGGTATGTATCGTTTGAACCGGCCGGGTGGTCGGGTAGGCACCGGCCGGTCGGCTCGGGCAGGTCGATCGGTATACTGAGGTGTTTGGTGAGTGTATGGGGTGTTTCTGGAGTCAAAGTCCTTTCTCTTCTCTCTGGGGGTCGGGTTTTTGGCTGTAGGATCTTGTCGGGCGGTTAGGGAATGCTCGGTGTTCATGTATTTTTGGGCTTTGGAAAGTAGGGTTGCCATGGAGGTCGGAGGGTTTTTGAAGAGGGAAAAAAGGAAGTTAGATGATCGTAGACCGGCCATGAAAGCCGTGAGAACGACCTTGTCTTCGTTCTCTGCTACCTGTAGGGCTTTAGTGTTGAAGCGGGTGACGAAGCTGCGCAGCGACTCCCCCTTGGTCTAACGGATATTGAGGAGCTGGGTTGCCGGACGCCGCTGGCGCTGGGCACCAATGAAATGGCTGAGAAATGAGTCACTGAGGTGCTGGAAAGTGGAGACAGAGTCTGTTGGTAGTTGACTAAACCAGAGTCGGGCCGACCCCTTAAGTGTTACAGGGAAAGCCCGACACATGATTTCGTCAGGGAATGCATGGAGGACCATAAGGGTCCTGTAAGTTTCCAGATGGTCGACCGGGTCTGTTATGCCGTCGAAAGAGTCAAGCGAGGGCATTTTGAACTTAAGAGGTAAGGGTTTGTCCTTGATGGAGGCAACGAACGGAGAGTTGGTTGTGGTAGATGGTTCAGTCTGCATGTTTTGCATGACTCCTTGGAGCTGGAGCTTCATGGCTTAGAGTTCTACATCCCAGAGAGGAATGTTGTCACCACAGGAATGCAGTGGAGGCTGGACACTACTGGCCTCTCCTTCGTAGGTGGGTGCTTGGACCAAAGGATGTGGGGCCAGGGGTGACGGGTTCATATCTGAGGGAGGGGGTCGCAAGCCTTCCAAGTTGGGTGGGTAGGGCTGTTGGATAGGATGGCTCGGGGCTTGTTCTTGGTTGGGTGGGATATCTTGAGGTGGAGGAGGAGGAGAGATAAGAAGGTCTCTTTGAAGCAAAGCATTAATCAGGGCTTGGTTTTGCTCTGCTAAACGGTTGATGCTGTTGGTAAGTTCTGTGAAGTACTACAGAGGGTTGTTTGGATTTGGAGGGTTGGCTTGGTGGTCGGCAACATTATGGTGAGAAGCTATGGATCTAGTTGTGACCATCCACCTTGGTGGGTGGCAGAAAGAGGTTATTGGGAAAGGGTCTTCGGCGACAGTAAGCACAACTGGCGCGTGGAGCAAAAGAATTTCCCACAGACGGCGACAACTGATGATATAGCGTATTCCAAATGGAACGGGTCAGATCGATTCACGCTTCACAAACCGATGTTCGAGGTACCAAGCCCACAGGGTGACCTGCACAAGAGTTCAACGGGAAACGGGGAGTCCCCCAGCGAACTCTCCGACAAGCAAGTTAGAAAGAGAGATGAAATGTAGAGAAAGATTAGTGATAGAAAGCTTAGCCTTCTTCTTGTCTTCGATGCCGGCTTATATCATTGTCAGTAAATCTAATTTGAGGGGTGCATTAAGTATTAGATCCAAGCTTTGGTCTTTGTTGTTTATAAAGACTCATATGTTTGTTTCTCTTATGTAGTTAGAATTTGATTGGCAGCAGTAATACTAACTGGTGTGCATTTTAATTTTAATTTCTTTTAAATTACAGAGTACTGGTTTGTGTGCATTATTAGATATTTATTATTATTATTATTTTATATTTGATTTGTTTTGAATTGTAGAGTGTAGTCTATTAAATATATTTTTATAATTGCATTTTTATCTTAAATTTAAATAGTGTTGCGATTACAATTTTATTATAATCTTAACATTATTTACACCGTGCCTTCAGGCACGGGCATACACTAATTAATTTACAAAAGAAAACAAAAGACAAAAAAATATCAAATAAGTATTTAATGAAAATATCATTAAAAAAACCGCACACACAAATGATATCATTATGATGAGTATATAAGATGCATCACTTGGCAGTGAGGTCATAGTGATTACGTCTCCCATATTACTCATCATGTCCTTATACCATGTTACCAATGCAAAAAGGTTCATATTGAAAACATAAATAAATCCTAAGAGCTGATTTGGAAACAAATATAAGTTATTTATTGACTTAATAGTTTATCTCGACCTTATTATTAATTTTATTTTTTTTGTATATTTTTTGGTAATAAATAAAGAAGTTAGTTTATAAGTTATCTCTAACATTATTTTTAATCATCATTGAATAATAAATATTATTTTATACAAATTTTCGATGTGTATTACATATCGTATGTAATTCTATATAAAATTAAGTAAGTTTTCATAAACTTACACAAATAATCTCATAAAAATACGCAAATTAGATATAACTTTATATAATCACGTAAATTTTTACAAATTCATATTTAACTTATATAATTTTATGTATACCAAAGCATTTCTCCTATTTGTTCCTCGCTTGCTACCGAAACAATGTACGTTTTAAATAGCGTTCTCAAATTTTTATTTTTATTTTTTGAAAAGAAAAGAGAACAAGATTTTCATTTGATTGCTAGTTTTAAGTTGTCTTCTTTTCTTTTTTTCTTTTTTAATTTCGCAAAAAGAATTTTTCATTTTTTATATTGTGGGTCAAACACGATTGAATTGAATTTGAGTGTACTTTAATGTTATGTTTGGTTTGGGGATTTGAGCAGAGATTTGAAAAGAAAAATAGAAAAGATAGGTGAAATGTGAATAAAACATGCTTATATTTCACCTAATTTCACACACTTTTTTTTTTCTCTTTCTAAATTTCCCTCCAAATTCTCCAATCAAACACAACGTAAATGATTGGATGTTTAGTTAAACAAGAGGTTGCGCCAAAGGATTGAATTACATTTCCTTTGCTTCAAAACATTGTTATTGTAGTTGAAAATTAATTAAAAAATTTAAAAAAACTAGAAAAGTATTCAAAACTGAGGCACCGTTTGGGAAGCAAGATTTGAGGTTTTTTTAGTTATTTTAGCCACAAAAAACAAAATAGATTATTTTAGTCACAATAAACAAAACATCACATTCAACCCATAAACATTACACTCTTCTTTCACAAAAAAAATCAAAAAAATCAAAAATCTAAAATTTTTTTTCCAAACTAAACTTTTTAACTTAGATTAAAATAATTAAAAAAATTAAAAAATCAAAAAATTAACTCACTTTCCAAATCAAGCCTGATTAGTTACCTAGTTACCAATTTGGGGTTGTTCTAAAACTCAGGTAGAAGCACGTGAGAGCAGAATTGAGAATGAAAAGTCAAGTCAAGTAAAGTCAAGTCAGTTCCTCCCCTGAATTGTGGGTCCCAAAGCAGGTGTTCTTTCTTTTGACAGTTTTAACATGCAAGCAAGACAGGGTATCATTACAAAAAATGTTTGAGAGTTGTAAAAGCTTTAATGGATGGAGTTTACTTAATGATGTGATATTTTAATTTTTTATTTTTAATCTAATTATTACATAAGTAGAGTTTAATTTAGAACTTTACTTTTAAAAATTAGAACTTTACTTTTAAAAGTTCTATCACTGCTCAGTATCATTAACAAGTCAATAATAACCTAACCTTACCAAGACTCCCCAAAATTTTTTTTAAAAAAAAATACTAATTAGATCAATCAATTAAACAAACAATTCTAATTGGACAGAACAACCTTGTTTTCAACTGTCAATCACTCAATCAATTTAAAATAATGTTTCATGATTCATTATGGCGGGAACTTAATTTTTTTTGATTTTTTTAATTTTTTTACTAAAAGATAAATTGATTATAAAATCAAAAAAAAAAAAATCTAAAAAAAATATCACATCAAACCACAAAAAAACTCAATTATCTTAACAAACACAAAAAAAAATTTCTTTAATAATATCTTAAAACTAAAAAAACTTAAAAAAAAAAACTATTTTCCAAACACCCACTATAAAAGACTCGAGTTTTACGGGATTAATTTTACATAATATGCGATGTCATTATACTTAAAAATAGAAATCTCAATATTTTCCTTATGAAATTGGGGGAAAAGAAGATTTTATTTGACAAAGTGAAAACATATGCCTCCCCCTCCAGGAAATTATATTTACAAAAAAACAAAACAAAACAAAACAGAAGATTAAAAGAAATAGATGCGCATATAATCCTTTGAGCCCCAACATTGGTGTAAATTGTTAATCTTTCTTGGTATTTTTGTCTTCATACCCAAGAAGGTCCTCTAACAACTGGTCATCCAAGTACTCAAATTCAATTACTTCTCTTCCCCTCCCTCCCTGAGTTCTATCCACATTCTCAGCAGCAGTGGCAGAGGACGAGGACGAGGATGATGACGATGAAGAGGAAGAGGGAGGATACTCATCAGGGAAGTTAAGAATTGCCAAACGACCCCTCATTGAATGTGCGGCTCGATCATAAGCTCTTGCAGCCTCCTCTGCAGTGCTAAAAGTGCCAAGCCACACCCGCACTCCGTGCCTATTCGAATCACGAATCTCCGCCGCGAACTTCCCCCATGGCCGCCTTCTCACCCCTCTGTACCTCACTTCTCCTTCCTTCTCTTCATTCGCTCCCTTTCTCTTATCTTCTTCCATATTGTCCTCTGTTCAAGCTATCTCAATTACAGAGGACTCTGTTTCACTCTGTTTCTTTGTAGTAAGTACTCCGTTTCATATAGTTGTAGGAATAGAACTATATCTGAATTACAGAGCACTTACTCTGTTTGTTTTGTACCCACAATTTATATATAGGGAATGTGAAAACAGTTTGAATGGACAAAAGGGTCAATAACTGTATGCGGTACCCGAGTCCATCAATGGGGAAATCCTCAAAAGTGCTCAAAACCTTTTCAGTGAATTATATATTCGTTACTTGATTGGTTGAATACTTTAAAGAAAGTTACATTTTTGGGGGGGTTAGATTTGGATGTTACTTGTTTTCAGTAATGAAATCAGGTGGGTTGGTGGTGAGGTCAGGGTGATGACGCTGCCCAGATGCTCATCATGTTTGTGTCATTAATTAATACAACTTATAATAATATGATTATACATATTATATATAGAGAGATGCCAGTGGTGGTATGGTAGATTCGGATGAGCGAAAGGGGTGATTAGTTTAATTAAAAATGAGGATTTGTGTAAGATGTAAGCCATGGTGAGGTCATAGTGCTTACGACACTCTTCAAGTAAGCCTCTTTGTATTTGTATTTGTATTTCTCTTTTGTTTAATTATTAATTAAAGATTAGTGTATATGTAAATTTGGAGAGTTAAATGATGATGAGCTCATATGGCTTGCGTCTCTCCATATATGATCACTATATGACAGTGAATGGGGGTTTACTTAATGAAAAATACCCTAATGTGTGACTACTACTACTTCAATAGGTTATGATTTTGCAGTGAGAATGGAAACACACAAAAATGCCTCTCCAAAACAAATTACACATTTAAATTTGCAGTGTGACTTCTTACTCTTCTATTTCCTTCTAGTAGATAGATTTGGTGTTGTTTAAATTGTAACATCTACATATATGAATACTCATTTAGGAAAATGATTAATCAAGAGTTTTGATTCTCTTTTAAAGTGTAACATCAAAATTTGTGCAATCCTTAATCTAAATCACATGTCCCCCCTTTATATATATATATATATATATATATTTAGCATTACTATTCAAGACAAAAATTTAGACTTAATTTTCAAACTCAGTGATGTGACAATCAATTAAGAAATTAAAGGTAATATTTTTTCTCATATATTCTCTAATCATCAATCAATCGTATCAATTACACATCATTGAATCTAAAAAATGAGTTTAGAAAGTGGACTTGTATATCATTTTTCACATTTTTTTGCCCCCATTAATCGAATATAATTATAATATCACTTTTGTTGACATGAACAATTTCATAAACTAATAAGATGCAATAGAATAAAGAAAGAAGCTTAAAAAGGAATAGGAGGTCTTGATTCCTTGTTGGAAAGCTTAAAATGAGAAATTTAGTTAAAGCCCTTCCATTGGACACTCGTTTGGTGAAAAGAACAATTTAATTTATTTTATTTCATAAATCTTTTAAGGAGGAAACACATAATTGAGTAAGGACAAAATAAAATATTGTCCTTACTGAGATAATATTGGACATGCTACTGTCAAACAGAGTAACATATTACTGTTTATATCAATTTCGACGGTAATAAATTATTATTTTTTTATTTAAGAATTTCATAGTCAACATGAATCTTATTTGATATATCTTGATGAAAAAATTTTAAAAATACTAATTTTATTAAAAACCGACATATACATCAAAAGTTATATTATTTTAAAATTTAATATTTTGGTAATAGTGGTATGTGTTGAACTTTTCAAAAAAAAAAATTTGTACTTGTCCCTAATGTATTAAAATTTTAGAATAATACTTCGTAACTCGAAATCCCTTTGGCTTGAATGGCTTGACTGCCCAAAACGACATCGTTCTGGGCAATTTTTTTTTTTTTCCCTCTTATATCTCTGAAACAGATGGATGGAGGAAGAGAGAGAAGAGAGAAGAGAGAAGAAGAGAAAGATGAAGAGAGAGAAAAGAGAAAAAGAGAAAAAGAGAAAGAGAAAGAGAAAGAGAGAGAAAGAGGGAACAGAGAGAGAGAGGCTCCATCCATCACCAGTGCCATCACTGACGTCGCCATCCTCTGTGTGTGTACACAGATCTGTATATATCTGTGTACCTCTCTCTTTCTCTCTCTCTCTGTGTTTTGAGTTATGGAAAAAGAAAGAAAAAAGAAAAACAGAGGAAAAACAAATACAAAAAAGAAAGGGAAAAAAAAAAAAAGTGCCAAAACATATTGATGATGATGTGGTGTTGTTTGTTATTGTTGTTCAGATTCTACAATTTTGTTGTTGTTGTTGTGATTGTTGGCTATTATTGATGACGATGTGTTGTTGTTGATGTTGATGCTCTCTCTCTCTCTCTCTCGGTTCCCCAGCTCCATCTTCTCTCTTTCTTCTCTCTTCTTCTTTTTCTTCATCTTCATCTTCATCTTCAGAGAGAAAAGAGAGAGAAAAAAAACTATCCAAAACAACGTTGTTTTGAGCAATCGAGCCATTCAGGCTAAAGACATTTCGAGCTACCTAACAGCGCTGAAAATTTTATTACGAGAGGGTTTTAAATAAATCTCCCTAAAATTAATGATGAAAATCAAAACCTAAATGAATGCCTATATCCACCAAAAAGCCATATTTTCAGTTTGGGCAAATTACATATACACCCCTCGAGGTTTGGCTAAATTACAGATACCCCTGAAGTTTGAGAAATTACGAATTCCCCCCTGAATGCTATATTTGCATAAGAAATTAGGGGGTAATTTGTTATGAAATATAAACCTCACATTTCGAGCTACCTAACAGCGCTGGAAATTTTATTACGAGAGGATTTTAAATAAATCTCCCTAAAATTAATGATGAAAATCAAAACCTAAATGAATGACTATATCCACCAAAAAGCCATATTTTTAGTTTTTTTTAGTTTACTTTCCAAAAAAAAAAAAAAAAAAAAAAAGTCTCAGTTTTTGTTTTGTTTTTTTTTGTAAAAAAAACTTTTTATATGCTTTTAGACTAAAAGACTAATTTTTTCAATAACAAAAAAAGATGAACTTTGAAATTTGAAATTGTATTTTAGTAAACTTCATCAAATTTGACCCTTTTTTTTTGGTTCTAGGTGCATCTAATAAGTTCAAAAATTGACAAATTTTGAAGAAAAAAAATTACTAAAAAGAAAAAAAATTCCCCTTCTTAAGCAGGTGCCGAACACAAACGCCTTAATCCTGTTGAGATCATAGACTAAGAAAACGGACATGCAGACTCAGTGGCCTGGCCGCTTTCAAAGACCAGAAATTTGACCAACATGGTTTTGGATAAACACATGGGCGGTGGTACTCTCAATCCCCTCTGAGCATGAAGTCCAATTTTCCGTCCCAGCTTTGTATGAGTCCATGGCCTAATCAGTAATGAGTCTCTTTCAAATTTAACTAACAAGAACACAGATTCAGAATCTCCCTTCTAATACAATCACCAGTGCCATCACTGACGTCGCCATCCTCTGTGTGTGTACACAGATCTGTATATATCTGTGTACCTCTCTCTCTCTCTCTCTCTCTCTGTGTGTTCTGAGTTATGGAAAAAGAAAGAAAAAAGAAAAACAGAGGAAAAACAAATACGAAGAAGAAAGGGAAAAAAAAAAAAAAAAGTGCCAAAACATGTTGATGATGATGTGGTGTTGTTTGTTGTTGTTGTTCAGGTTCTACAATTTTTTTTGTTGTTGTGATTGTTGGCTATTATTGATGATGATGTGTTGTTGTTGATGTTGATGCTCTCTCTCTCTCTCTTTCTCTCTCGGTTCCCCAGCTCCCTCTTCTCTCTTTCTTCTCTTTTCTTCTTCATCTTCATCTTCATCTTCATCTTCATCTTCAGAGAGAAAAGAGAGAAAAAAAAATATCCAAAACGACGTTGTTTTGAGCAATCGAGCCATTCAGGCTAAAGACATTTCGAGCTACCTAACAGCGCTGGAAATTTTATTACGAGAGGATTTTAAATAAATCTCCCTAAAATTAATGATGAAAATCAAAACCTAAATGAATGACTATATCCACCAAAAAGCCATATTTTTAGTTTTTTTTAGTTTACTTTCCAGAGAGAAAAAAAAAAAAAAAAAAGTCTCAGTTTTTGTTTTGTTTTTTTTTGTTTTTTTTTTTTTTTTTTTTTTTTAAAAACTTTTTATATGCTTTTAGACTAAAAGACTAATTTTTTTAATAACAAAAAAAGATGAACTTTGAAATTTGAAATTGTATTTTAGTAAACTTCTTCAAATTTGACCTTTTTTTTTTTTCTTTTTTTTTTTGGTTCTAGGTGCTTCTAATAAGTTCAAAAATTGACAAATTTTGAAGAAAAAAATTACTAAAAAGAAAAAAAAAAATTCCCATTCTTAAGCAGGTGCCGAACACAAACGCCTTAATCCTGTTGAGATCATAGACTAAGAAAACGGACATGCAGACTCAGTGGCCTGGCCGCTTTCAAAGACCAGAAATTTGACCAACATGGTTTTGGATAAACACATGGGCGGTGGTACTCTCAATCCCCTCTGAGCATGAAGTCCAATTTTCCGTCCCAGCTTTGTATGAGTCCATGGCCTAATCAGTAATGAGTCTCTTTCAAATTTAACTAACAAGAACACAGATTCAGAATCTCCCTTCTAATACAGATGAACAAGAACCGAATCAATGGCTCAAATTCGAATTACAGGTCCAAATTGAAGCATACAAAGTTTCTCCTCCAGTGCTGTCTACAAACACAACCACAAGTTTTATCAGCACTAATCAGAGAATGCCAGTACCTATTATATATCCAATACATATGCTTCATTAAAATAAAAATATACAGAGTACTCCTGTTCAACCTTAAAAGGCCAACAAATACAAAAATTTCACACCACATACAAGCCCCATACACGAACCTAGTACTTGCTTGGCATGCACTAAGGCCTCGTTTGGGAAGAGCCGGTTTAGTCAAAAAGTCAAAACGTTACTAAAAAAGTCAAAAAGCTAACAACCCATACCAAAAAGTCAAAGATTCTCTTTTTTTCTTACTTTTTGCACATCTTTTCGTAAAAAGCCAAAAAATCATCCCAAACATACTAGTTTTTTTTAGCTCATATTTTAGCCAAATAGCCAAAAAATTACTAAATTAGCCTATTCCCAAACGGGGCTTAAGCCAAAGAAAGACTCTTCCCATGCATGAATGTGACCCTGTGTAATGTTCGGAGTATAACTTCTGCTGTATCAGAAGAATAAATATTGCTATGTAGCAAATTCAAGTTTATATTCTCAACCTAGCACCAAGGGCACGGACATGAAAAAGAAGTCCCGACCCAGGTCTGAATGAATTCTGTTGTCAAGACAAATTGTGGAATAGGAATACAATCACTAAAGTAGAACAACCACATTATTGTCAAGAAGATGAGCAATTTGTGTCGGAGTGTGGAATTTGTACAACCTTCTTTCTTTCTTCCAAGTAAACAGAGTTCCTTTGGAAGTCCAAAACTGCCCAAAACAAATGCCAAAAACCGATCTCTGGCCAAAGCGCAGAGGGAGAATATAAATGGCAATGCGCAGTCTGCCACAAAAGAAAATTGCTCAAGCGGGTCTCACCGGAAGTACGGATCAAGATATCAGGGTCGGGTGTGACTGCCATATACATATGTTTCTCAACATCTGTCACACTAATAATATCATCTCCTTGGTTCATTTCATTGGTCCCAAGTCCAATTAAACCATACCCAGCACCACTTTCTTCAAGTAATTTGAGTTCATCCCATTTTTCTTGGCAAGATTCTTGAACAGAATGCACAATCTCATCAGTGGAAGTGTAGGCAACACAGATCGACAGCACTGCCTTGGAGTTACTGGCTGTGGCTGTCATAGCCCTCTCTGCTGCCAACCTCACAGATTTGTTCAAAAGCTTAAGGTCACCTATAAAGTAAACTCTAACTCCATAGCGGTTCACTATGCTCTCTTCTTCGATTAACCCTTCAATCTTTTCCTGCATCAACTCCATAACATAATGAACTTCTTCTGGACGTCTTTTAAAATTATCAATGCTGAATGCATAAATCGTTACATATTTCACACCGAGCTCGTAGCAGTATTGGAGCATGGACATGAGAGCCAAGAAACCAATCCTGTGGCCAGTCCCTTCTATCAATTTCCACTTCTTTGCGTATCTTCGATTCCCATCCATGATGAAGGCAATGTGCTGAGGGACAGGACCAATGGAAAGAACCCCAAAAATGCATTTTCGTAGGATACTGCCGAAATTCCCAAAGATTCGGGATGCTTGATTACCTCTCTCTTTATCCATATCAAAATCCTGACTAGTGCCAAATTAGCATAGGCGAAACCTGTTCATCATGAATATAATCTTGAATTATTAACCGTTCAATCATGAAGCATTCATTTGTCAATCTTCTCAAAACATGTGCTACGTGTAAATATTTTACAAATTTGGAATGAGAGACTGTCAAAGTATGTTTAAGAACTAGAAAACTCTTACTATTAGTACTACCATAAATATCTACTCAAGCCATATCATACAGGTACTTAAATAAAAGTAGCAGACTATCATTACAATCATGGTTGCATGCAATCATTTCACAGAATGACAGGCTCAGTTTACCCAATTTCATTATCGATGAGGAAAAACGAAGTCTAAAAGGTTTTCAAGTGTCATACACAGCTTTTCAACTAGATGACATTTTCTCAAAGATTTGAAGAAGGTAATTTGAAAGAACTGATATGATTCATATGAAAATCCACGAGCTTCAGTTATTTTGTTAGATATTGAAATCATTTTTTGGCATTTTATGATATTGTTCCAAGCATTTGCATATTGTGTGGTCAGTTTTTTTTGAAGTTAACAGCACATAACATGTTCATCTAATTTGAATGTTAGGAACCCAGAATAACATTGAAAGTTGAAGAGCACTAAAATATGCCTCTGCTAATTATCTGGATGCCTAGTAATAGTATACCACACCTCGAAGGCAAAGAAGCAAGGATACGAACACGGGACATGAATGCAACAAGATACATACACGTCGAGACGACAATTCTCAAAAAAATCAGGACATGATACAGCAACAAATAAATAAATACTTTTTTATATCCATACATGAAAATAAAAACAATTTCTTCACTTTTACATTACAAATACATTTATATTTTGTTATATCAAAATAGTAAGAAGTCATTTTCCACATTCTACATATTGGAAAAAAAAGTGTGTACAAAAAATTTTAATATATGTTTTAGAAATATCTATTAGCCCATGTATTCTCCATTTTCAGAGTTTTTCCTTAACTGATTGCTTCATATCATACTGATTACCTGAAAAAACCATCTATAGTTGATACCCTAGTGATTGCAAACAGATTACTCAATTTTTGCACACAAACTATCTTATCTACCTTCTAAAGGTAGTTTGCTGACATGAGTTTTGGTACCTTTTATGAATGATTTCTAGTGGGTCTGATTCCCTGAACTGTGAGCATGTGTGCAAATCACTAGTTAGTTGTACAGAATTGCAAGTCAATAGGTAGCACATGGACACTTAGGCAAATGGTGCTAGAAAAAGACATCATTCTGGTAAGCATCCATCGTGTGCGCTTTGTTGATCACAATATAGCTCTCATCAAGGATGGAGCCAAAGTTATGCTAATTGCCAAGAAACAAAACTTGATAGGAAGGAGCACACCACAAAGTTGGGTTTCTCATCATCATGTCAATGCTTAACTTGCTACATCCTACAATGTGGGCATGAAATATAAAACAATATATGCATTTAATATAAGAAGCAATTATTGTACATGACGATAGAGACAGTTATGATTTTTCAGAGAACCTAAAGCTCCAAACTGAACCTGCTGGAGTCTCCGTACTACTCCAATGCATTGATATCAATTTGGGTTTCCTACAGTTTCAAAAATAGGATCATCGTTGTTCTAGAATTGTGCGAAGGAGAATGCAATGATATATGAGAAATGAGTGCATACACAGCTAGCTCGCAATGGTTAAATTGGGCTATGGAAGGTAATGGATAGATATAGGAGATCAATCATATTGTAACAAAGAGGATATATGTGCTGTTGGCCACAGCACAACTCCAAATTGTTGCCATCAATTTGTGTTTTTCAAAGTTCCATTGGCAAGTTTGTGGTTGTCCTACAATCATGTCAACGAAAATGAAATGATATCTACAAAATAAATGCAAAGACAGCTAGCAATTTCAAGTTGGATTTTGGAATGTATAATAAGAAGTATATATGGGATCAAATCATATTGCAATTTGCAACCAAAAAGAGAAAAATGCTAAATTCATTGGTTTTTGGGTGAATCGAATCGTGAATCAAATCGCAAATCGTAAGATTCTAAAAACAGAGCTGGTTAGCATCAATGATAATTATTCCGGAGATATGTGGACTCTACAGTATATAATATCCAATCCAACCTTTATATCCGGGAATCAAACAGGACCAAAGTGCTTTTCTACATGCTTGATATGACTGCACACACACCATTAACCTACAGCTAAGTTATGGAGGATTGCTTGCTCAACCTAGTCAATCCTGAACTTTGATCAACAAATATTCAATTTCTACTACTAGTACTGGGTTTTCAAAGAAAACAGTGAAATCAATTAAAAGGTACAACCATTAACAGAAATTAACACAAATTGGTCAATAATCATTAATAACAGTAAAACCATGTACTTAAGCATATAATTGTAATCAATGAAATGTTCAGAGTCAATAAGCACAGCAAAATCAAACCACATCAATCAATAGTGATACTGGTTCAAGATTTGGTGCAATTTCAAGAAGGAATATAGGAACGCCGATTAGAAAGAAACAAGAGTAGAAATTAATCAACTGTAAAGAAAAGAGAGAAAAACAAAGAATGAGAAAGATCGTTCGTTATTACCTGTAAATCTTTGATTGTCTTGTAAAAAATCTAGGTCCTTCCTAGTTGAATCGAGTGGTTTCAGTTCATACATGAGAGAGAGAGAGGGGATCAGATGGAGGCGGTATCGTGTGTGAAGCCACCACGCAACTTCATCATGGAACTTGTAATAGGAAAACGCCACTTCAACTGTGAGTTTTATTTATTTATTTATTTATTTATTTAAAACACACAAGTTTTAATTTATGAATTTATATTATATTAGATCTTAATTAAAAAAAAAAAATTGAAAAAAAAAATTGAACTTTTAAATTATATTTAAATTTTTGATAATCGGAATTGTCTTTTAAACAATGATTATTTATTATTTATGATTATTTATAAATAAACATAATGATTTTACATTTATTTTGATTTTCAAAATTTTAAAACATCAACTTTCTAATTGAAAAAAATTATGTGCAAAAAAAAATGTTTTTTTTGAAAATTTTGAATTTTTTTTTGTTCAAAATTAAAAAATTTGTGTCTATAAAGGAGCATGATAATAGAACATTGATGTGCAAAAAAAAACTTTAAAAATGAAAAAATTGATAATATTCTCAATTTTAAAATTGGAAAAAACTGATAATGTTATCAGTTTTATTAAATAGTAGAATCAAATCAATAAGTAGAAAGACAAAAACGTTTAATCTCATACTCTGTTTTTCTTCATCAATTAGTGAAACAATTATTTTGAACATTACTATACAAAATTGATAATGTTTTTAGTTTTAAAAATTGAGAAAAACTGATAATATTCTTAGTTTTATTAAATAGAACTTATTGGTTCAAAATCTTAAATAGGACCTAAGTTACCATAATATTTATAAATAGGACTTTTAAGTAATTATTTTTTTTTTAATAATTAACATTGATTTTTTAAAAACATTTTAAGAAAAATTTTAAAACGCTGAAACTAAACAAAGGCCATGGCATCATGTGAGTAGCTTGCTAAGGTCTCGTTTGGTGGCTGATTGAGGTTAAATAAGTTAATAAAAAAAAATTAATAGGTTAATTTAATTAATAAAATAAAATATTACATTTAAATTATAATCATTTTATTTTTTCTTTTGTAACCATCAAATTAATTACAAAAAAGTTAAAAATTTATTCCAAATAGAATTTTTTTAATCTAATTAAAATCATCAAAAAATTATGTTAAAAAAATTTATTGCCAACGAGGCCTAACTTTCCTTTCAAGGCTAAAGAATAATTTAAATATATATTTTTTTGGATGTAATTTATGAGCAGAAACAAGAAAGGGAGAGGGTGGGAAAAAAAATATACTACACTAAAAGCTCTCAAAAAATAAATTAAAATAAAAAGACCAATTTTCAAACCAAAAACAAAATCAAATTTTATTACCCTGAAGATGAGAAGCCCATCCTGCCGAAGTAAGATTAAGGGAAGTAAGCTTATGGGCTTAGGCTCGCGGTGTCTACGTACTTTTAAGGTCAAATTTGAGTCTAGACTTAGGTGAGAAATGATTAGAATTGCGGTGTTTACGTGCTCCTAAGGCTAAACTTGAGTCTGGACTTAGGTGGGTAATGATTAACCACCTATATCTAATTTTTCAAAAATCTATGATTCTAAAAAAATTAATTAGAGAGTGTTCAGAATATTTGATTAATGGTGTATATTTATGCTGTGTTTGGTTGGGGGATTTGAGGAGGGATTTGGAAAAGGAAAGGGAAAAGGTGTGTGAAACTATGTGAAATATAGGCATGATTTATTCACATTTCACCTACTTTTTCATTTCTCTTTCCAAATCCCTCCTCAAATCCCTCAACCAAACACAACATTAAAGAAGTTATTGTGTGCTCATAGTTTGATTTGAACAAATCTTTGCTTTTAATGGGAAATCCTAAATGATTTTCTAATTATTTTTTCTTGATGAAAAACATAAATTTTCGATAAGGATTGAACATTATTAGACCAGTTTAAAAGAAGAAGCCAACACCCAAGTGTTACATTTTTTCATTTGGGAGGGGTTTCTCTCTACCTAAAGAAATCGATAATAATAATGATCATAATAATTAATTTTTCACATTACTGAGATGTTTAATCTTCTTGTTACTTTTACAATTTCCCATTTTGTGATGCAAAATAAATGATTGATGATAAAAATCAAATTAATAATTTCTCAAAACAGGTACAGGTAATTATGTTTCATGGGCCTTTGTGAGAAACACTAAAAATACATTTTTAGCTCCATATATTACAAGGCACTGAAAGATTTGTACACTGCAATTCCACAGCACTTTCTATGATCTTACACAGCATTACTTACTAGCTTATTGGAGCTTATAACACTCCATTACAGCTTCATATGCACCAATTTTCTCTGCATAGGTCCCAAGAAACTCTTTGTATTGGGAGGCTTTATAGATTGGTGGATTGCAATCATCAATCAAATTTTTCGCTGGCTCTACGAAGCATTCATATGAAGGAATAATAAAGTAGCCAATCGTGGTCCGATCCACTTCTGAATTTGTCACCACTCGATGTTCAGCACTTTTCAGCTTGTCGTTACTGATAATCTACAACAAAACAAAAAATTAAAATTCAGAATACCCTTTAATCATTGTAAAAGAAAAATAAAAATTGGATTTTGAACTTTAATCAGATTATACCTGTAATTGGCAGCCTATGATGACGACAAAGGCGTTAGGAAGAGGCTCGACACTGATCCACTGGCCATCCTTGAAGACTTGAAGCCCATCTATGTCGCCTTGTTTTAGAATGGTGACAACGTTGGGATCGCAGTGTCTGTGCATTCCCATGGCTAAACTAGGATCAGGGCATCGTGGGTACTGATTAACTGACAGTAACTGAACTTGGCTCAGCTCATCTGCAAAGTACCCATTTTCTAGTCCTAGTCCTTCACAAATCAGGTCCAAAATCCTCAATACCAATTTGCTCACCTCAACTGAATACTTTCCCAAAACTTCCCTGATAATTTGTTCCAAAAAATATGTATATATAATTTAGTCGCGGAAACTATGTAATAAAAAGGTCACATTTTGTTGTTGTAGCCGTTTACCGGTATCTAGGGGGATTTTCAGGCCAAAGTTGAAGGCAATCCTCTAAAGGATGACAAGGGTGAGTCAAATTGTCTCTCCAGAAATGGACCTCTTCGGTGTCATAATTCAAAGTGCTCGTGTAGAGCCGGCATTTTTTGCTCGAGTCTACTTTGAACACGCGTTCCTTGACCTCAGCAGGCATGTCAAAGAACTCCTTGAGAACCTCCATCGCTTCATTCATTAAAGTCTGCGAAGTTCCATGGTTGATCACCTATTTTACAGTGAAATTTCATTGTTATTTGATCTATATTCCCAGTTAAGGTTTCAAATAAAGGTTGTCGTTGGCACTGATACGGTTGTGGGGTGTAATGGGTATGGTGTAACATTAAGGCAACATGAGCTGTGAATTTTTTCAATTTAACGATATGCATGTTTTTAATACAATATCACTAAGGTTTAAAATGATTTTTTAGAGGATTCATTTTTAAATACGATCAAATATATGTACTAAATTTCATACTATTTTTAAGCTGCCATAAAGATAGTTTTGACAACATTTAATGATTTCACGTGCTATAAATTCATAATATGCCCTTTTATTGATACTAATTTTGTTAAGGTTTATATTTTCAAGTTAAAACTGCATATAAAAAATTATGTTCAATTTTTAATATCGAGCAAATAAACAAAAAAATAAAAGCTTAAAAAAGGGAAAAAATTAGCAAAAAAATTGGCATTTAAATATAACCACAGTTATGTAACAGTCGTAACAGATAGTAGTGATGGCCTAATATTGTCAAATTAAATGGGATAATTTTCAAACTTAAAACCTGAAAAAACCCGAATTCTCGGCCAGCTTTCAAAATTTGCTGAATCGTTTCAGAGCGGCCGTGATTATCGACAGCCTTGTTGAGGTCAATTATTGGGTTGTTGCATGCCAGAGGAATGAGGTCACCAGCCCTTTGATCCGGTGGAAAGACATAAGTTTCAGGCAATGAATAGACATCTTTAGACCAGCTTGAAACAAGCATTGCCATCCTCTTGATGAGTATATTTGTTATGTGAGAACTGAGAATTCGGTTTCAATGCTTAAGATGTGGGGGGAAAACCATGTGTTTTATAGTTCCTAAATCACAGGTCCAAAATTTTGTACCGTTTGGAGAAAAAATAAATGTACCTTCATTTTCCGGGAAAATGAAAGGGGTACAATGTATCAGCATTATGACTATGCAAGCCACTAGTTTTATAACCTAAGATAAAGAGAATGTGATCTTCATGAGAATCAAATATTATTAGATTCCATAATTTTGATCTAGTGATGATCATGAAGTTTTAATTGTAGCATGTGGTCCTGCCTTCTGTTGTCAATCTTTCAATTTCAATACATCATTCTAGGCTTTTCCAAGATCTTAATAGGAAATTATCAAATTAGTATTTATTCTTCAAATGAGTGCATTCTTTAGAAGTTCCTTTTGAGTATAATTAATGTCATTTTCTTTGGGATTTTGATATCTTGAGGCAAGGTCATGATAGAAAGAACTTAAACTACTTTCATTACACTATTTCAATTATTAATCAAAGTAATATATAAATTATTGACGTGTTTTGTTTGAATTAAGCAACATAGACCCACATAACACAATATCCAATCTTAAGTTGAATAAGTCAATCGACCTCAACTTGAATTTTAACCTGAAAATATGTTCATCTTATCTTATCTTATATATATAAACAGTAATTTTCATTTTCTTATGCGGCACATTCTAGAGTCTTTTTTTTTTTTTTTTTTAGAAAAGCCACCTCAACATACATTTTCTATTTACATAGAAGTTTTACCACTCTTATTTATTTCTACTCTAACAAACCCACAAACCCATTACACTTAAACAATTTTGTAAGGGCTCTATTTGCTGAGAAATACTTATCTGACAATTTAAATTAGAGTTTTACATTAAATCTAACTACAAATTCTATATGGATTATACTTTAATTTTACAAAATATTTCTAATATTATTCTATACAATCACAAATCACAAAATAAAATCAGTGATAAATATATATTCAAAGGCCGTTTCAGATTCTGTATTGAGTTATTTCTTCACTGTTGTATTCTTCAACATCCCTTCTGATTTTTGGTTTTTTGTATTTGGTTGATCGAATATGAAGATTGTTAATTTTTATATATACTAAAAGTAGTGTTTTACTTTTAAATTTTTTCTCTCTATGCATCTCTCCTCTCTTTATTTTTAATTTTATAATTATTATTTTTGATATCAAAATTAGTACTTCTTCTTGTATTACATTATAATTTAATATCATATAAAATCATTATATATATTTATTTAAATTACACTTTTATAGTACGATGGAGTTAAAATTATCAAAATAAATGTTTATTTTACTATGCTATAATTTAATATCATATAAAATTATTATATATATATATATATATATATATTTAAGTTAGATTTTTATAGCACAGTAGGGCTAAATTATTAAAATACACATAAATAATTTATCTAAAATTATTATATATTCATTTAAATAACACTTTTATAAAATGATATGGTTAAGATTATCAAAATAAATAGTTAGAATTATTTTTCAATTTTAAATTATTTTTTTTCAATTTAATTATTATTTTTAATATTTTATATATAAACATATATATATATATATATATATATATAATTTAACTAAATTTTATAAAATATTATTTTCAAAAAACTATATTTTTTTGGGGGGTTAAAATGAAAAGAAAAAAAAACTATATTTTAGCCCGTGCACTGCACGGTTAAGTACTTAGGCTTGGTCTGGCACAACCTACAAAATCAAAAAAATATTAAAAAAATCCATACTATTTGAGGGAAGTTTGTGGGAGAAGCTTAGAGGGTAGAATTATTATTTTACGCTTTGAATTCAACTATCTAAAAGTCAAAAAGTCAACAAGGGTAGAATGATTATTTTGATTTTATTATAATATTTTATTACACATCTTTTCCTAAAGAGTTAAAAAATTATCCCAAACATACATATTTTTTTTCTCTACTTTTTTAACTAAAAAGTCAAATAAAAAAAACACATATATAACAAATCCCAAACAACCCATTTTGGGAACGTGATTATGTGCCATTTTGGGAACATAGTAAAAACGTGGCTGCCAAAAATGCAACAAAATCCCTTTGGGAAGTGTCAAAAATGCAGTCTTAAAATTACAAATTAGGGCCTATGAAAAAAAAAAATAAATAAATCTCTTATGCTGGCTAAGGGTATTTGGTCATTTTAATTTGATTTGACACCATAAATAAATATTAAACTAAAAAGTAAAAAGCCATCTTTTTACCAACTTCCCAAATCACTTCCAAAAAAGTCAAAAAGTTTGGTAAAAAACCAAAAACCAGCTTTTTACCAACTTCCCAAAACAACCCTATAACTTATAGCTTAACAGCTTATACCTTATAACTATGAATATAAGCTGATTTTTTACTTATAAATTAAGTTTCTCCTTCACCACTCAAAGAATAAGTTGATTTTTGACTTACAAAAAACTATAAACTGTATTATTAAGCTAAACCAAACACATCAAAATAGTTTAAATTAAGGTAAAAGCTGAAATAAACTGAAAATAAGCCCTACCAAACAGGCCCGTAGTTGTCAAACAATAAGAGCACTAACCCTTTTTATTGCATACTTCAAATGATCAAAACACAAGCTTCTATTAAGGCTTCCGTTAAGAGTTTGTTAATAAGTTAATTTATAATTAAAAATAAGCATATAAAGAAATTAATGTTAAAAAAAATTAGTTTGTTTGATAGATTTTTTTATTTATTTTAAAATGAGTTTTAGAATGAAAAATTTAGTTTAACATTTCTCTCCAACTTTTAGTAATGGAAGAGGTTCACAATATATATATATATATATATATATTTTTTTTTTGTAGTCTAAGGTCCCTCAGTCATATCCTCTCTCCTGTCTCTCGTTCATCCTCTCTCCTCTCTCTCCTCATGACTGTTTAACATTTAGACGGCGCCAACGATCATCTTCTTGATATAGTGCTATGATGTAGAAGACAAGTCCAATTTGAATATATAAATATATATATATATATATATATGTAGAGAGAGAGAGAGAGAGAGAGAGAGAAGATGTGAGAAGACATGTCGAAACTGTAGACGAAAATTGCAAGGTTGTTTAGCAACCAATCAATCCCGAGAATGGACTAAGTAAGGAATCGATACTTCACTAGAAAAGACGCAATTGATGGTTTTAATAAGTGGATCTCTCTCAGCAACCAATCAATCCCGGGAATGGACAAAGTAGGGAATCGATACTTCACTAGAAAAGACGCAATCGATGGTTTTAGTAAGTGGATCTCTCTCTCTCTCTCTCTCCTCCCTTCGCTTTCTTTCTATTCTTGCAAAATCCATTCATTGATTCGTTTGTTTGAGTTTAGAAAATTTAGGAAAACTATTGATTCTAAGGCATTAAATTTTGTAGCTTTCGTTTGTTTCAAATTTAGTTAGTGCTACATTGTTACTGTTTTGTAGAATTGAATGTTAAGTCATATATATACTGGGGACAATATGGTTTTCATGTCCCTTTATGTCTATCGTATAATTTCAGTTTCCAGGGAAATGTTTTTTTGATTGGTTGTGCTTTATATGGCTAATTTTCTAGTTTTATGTACAAAATAAAATTTGCAATCATTGGAAGCATTGTAAGGAAATTGTGCCACAAGTATATGAACTTGCTTGTTTTAGCAAAGAGAAAATTAGCAAGAAAAAAAAAAGTCAATTGAAACTCGATTCATAAAATTAAAAAATTGAAATTTTTGCACTCAGTTGATTTTGTGATGAAGAAACAATAGCAAATTATTTGAGTTTTCAGTATTAAAAAAAATGGTTGATTAAGCAACCTAATGTAGAATGGGTGATCATAGACAACAATAAACTCATGGATGTAGCGGAATTCAGATGAGGAGATTGTGATGTATAAGCAAATCAGATTGAAAGTTGTGTGAGCAAATCAGATTGAATTTTCTCTAGACTGTGTGAATTTTCTCTAGATGTGGGAACTGTGCAAATTTTATTTGGTTGTGACCATTGTTTATAATTTTGTGAATTTTCTCTAACTGTGTGAATTTTCTCTAGCTGTGATCACTGTGTGATTTTTCTCTGGTTGTGGCCACTATTTGTAATTTTGTGAATTTTCTCTGACTGTGGTCGCTGTATGAATTTTCTCTGACTGTGGTCGCTGTATGAATTTTCTCTGATTGTGGTCACTGTATAAATTTTCTCTGGCTACGGTCATTGTGTGAATTTTCTCAAATATTGTGGGATTGTGATGTGTCTAGAGAAATTTCAGTAAAAATGTCCAGAGAAATTCTAAACATGAACATACAAACACACTCAGAGAATTCTAAGGAGATTTTGATATGTCCAGAGAAACTCTAAACATGAACACACAAACACACTCAGCGAAATTTCTCTGGTTTTAAAATTTCTCTGAAAAAATGTTGAGAGACCCCAACTACTATGAAAATATTTCATGTCTTTTATCCTATAAAATTTTAATATCAAGAATCTTAAAAAAAAAAATTCCCTGTTTAGAGTAGCTAAAATATATATTTTTTTTATGAGAATTAACAAAATATACTTTGTTAATTAATAAACTCATGTTGAAGTCACATCCAAACGAAACCTTATGGATTGTTGTTAATTATCACTAACACCATTATATTAGAATAAGAAGCTATTGGTGACTGGTTCCAACACAAGACAGACAAGCATGCTACAAAGATAATAATGATAAATTGTGAAAGATTGTGGCCTCTGTATTCTATAAATCTTTCTCTTTCAATGCATCATTAATTTTTTTTTTTTTTTTAACACCTCAAGTGGGTGCAAGCTTTTGATGAGGCCAAATTTAGCAATTCCTATCATTAAAATAATTATCATTTATTTAGAATTTTGATATCTCAATATTACATCATAAATCACAGTCACATACAAAAAAAAATTCAATATGAGAGAAAATCTAAATAAATACAAAAAGAATAAGATTTTGACCCTATGAGTTTGAATTTTTCTGTTTCGGGCTGATTGTACATGGGACTCTCTTGAGGAGTTTTAAGAAGATGGTTAAAAATTAATTTTTAATTTTTTTGATTTTTTTTTAAAAATATGAGAGGTGATGTGTCTTAAAATGACTTAAAAATTGACTTCTAACTTTTTAATTATGTTGCCAAATTAACAGTATATATATTGCTTTGATAGAATTAAATATGAAATTAAATTAACGCCAATAATGGCTTATTGACAGAGAGAGTGGGGGACCATAATTATATTCATTCTTGTCTACAGTATATATAATATTTAATTAGTGAGTGATATAATATTAATTTGGTGGTTCATTAAAGAAAATTTTCTGTGATGTATCAAATGACATAGAAAGTCAAAGATTTTAAATTCTTCTTCAAGATACCCAATTATTATTTTTCATATTTTGTAATTTTTATTTTATTTTATTATTTATTATTATTTTTTATTTTTTCACTCTCCCCTCCTCCTAACCTCCATTGGGCCTGATTACCGTGGATTGGCTTGGCTGTCTTGGGAAAAATCATCTACTCCTCTTTATGACGGTTGAAAAATTTTCAACCCATTGCCAAAACTCACTTATGTTCAAAGTCATTAGGGATGGCAATGGGGTAATGGAGTGGATATTAATTTTCCATCTCTATTTTTTTATAATAAATTTTTTTCATTTTCCATTCTTCATTCCCCATGGGTACCACTCTCCCCATTTCTTAATGGGTATGGATTTTCCCCAACCCACTTTAATCCCCATTTTTATTTTTTATATTTAATGTTAACAATCACTTCTTTTTTTTTTTAAGGTTCTCAACAAAAACTAAATATACCTTCAATTTTTTTTCTTTCCTTTTTAATATATTTAATGCTAACAAATTTTTTTTTTTTAAAAGTTCACAACAAAAGTTAAATATACCTTCAATCTTTTTTCTTTCTTTAATTTTAACAATTTTTTTTTTTAAGGTTTACAACAAAAGTTAAATATACCTTCAATCTTTTTTCTTTCTTTAATTTTAACAATTTTTTTTTTTTAAGGTTTACAACAAAAGTTAAATATACATTCAATCTTATTTTATTTTATTTGGTTCAACAACAAAATCAAATACACATTAATTAATTAATTAAAAAGTTTGTTTTATAATAATCAAATATATAATTTTATTTGGAAGAACGTGGAAGATTAAAAAAAAATTACAACCAATCTCTCTCTCTCTCTCTCACTCTCACTCTCTCCCCTACATGTTATAAGAACCTGATTACAATTTTATAAGAGACTGTTTGAAGAAATAAAATGTGAAAGAACCTGTTTGAAGAAAGTATTATAAGACCCATATTAAATTGCATCAGGGCATAAATAAGGAATTGTTTGTTGATCTCTTAGCCACGGACATTTTAGACATTAAACCATCTTTCTCTTAGCAAATTTGAACCATTCATTTTAATTTATCCAAAATCTAATTATACCTTTATCAAATCTGAACCACTCATTTTAAGATATCAATGCATTATCACACCCAATCCATCCTCCATCTTCTTCCTTTAGTCCCCACGAATTTTGTTGTTTGTTACTTTTAAAAACAAAAAATGTTTTTTCAAATAAATTTTTACTAATTTCACAACACCATCACCACTATTCTTACTTTCACTGTCACACTACCATCACCATAGCCACTACCATCATCACTGCGGATGAAGCATGCATAGGAGGAAGATGACCCCAAAATACATAACAAAATAAAATAACATAGAAAAGCAAACCGAAACCTACACTAGACAATGTCCTTAATTTTTTTTAAATAAATTTAAAAATTTCTAGATATGCATAAAATTTGACAAGAATAATGTGACAATGTTAATTAATGTGTATTTGATTTTATTGTTGAGCCAAATAAAATAAAATAAGATTGAATGTATATTTAGCTTTGGTTGTGAATCTTAAAAAAAAAAAAAAAGATTGAATGTATATTTAGTTTTGGTTGTGAATCTTAAAAATTAAAAAAAAAATGGTTGTGAACCTTAAAAATAAAAATAATAATAAAAAAAAAGATTGGATATATATTTAGCTTTGGTTGTGGATCTTTAAAAAAAAAAAAATTGGTTGTGAACCTGAAAAAATAAATAAATAAAAAAAAGAAAAAAGATTGAATATATATTTAGTTTTGGTTGTGAATCTTAAATAAATAAATAAAAAGAACATGGAGAAATTAGTGGGTACCCATCCCCTGCGGATATTTAAAAAATATCACTTACCCTACCCAATGGATAAGAAAAAGAGGGAAAAACCTATGTATTTGGGTTGGGTCCCATGAATACCCACAGGATAGGTTATCCATTGCCATCCTTAAAAGTCATCGAGCTAGTTGAATATTTTAATAGATTCAAACCAATAGTTTAAGCCGATTAGGCGAGTTAGATATAAAAAATGAGAGAGAACATTAATAATTATGCAACTTTAAATTATTATTGTTTTATAATTTCAACCAAAAAATTGATTATTTATTCTAGGTATTCAAAAAATATGTCCCCACAGGTCCCATGGATACCCACAGAATAGGTTATCCATTGCCATCCCTAAAAGCCATCGAGCTAGTTGAATATTTTAATAGATTCAAACCAATAGTTTAAGCCGATTAGGCGAGTTAGATATAAAAAATGAGAGAGAACATTAATAATTATGCAACTTTAAATTATTATTGTTTTATAATTTCAACCAAAAAATTGATTATTTATTCTAAATTTTGACCCAAAATTTTGCCCTAGCACACACACTGAATACAATTTTTCTTTCTTCTGGAAAGACTCAACATATAGTATGGGATATGGCACAATTCGGGCTGGGTTCGAATCATGAATAACATCTAGCCTCAACAAAGAAGAAAAAAACAAAAACTAAAAACTGTTTCAATTGTAAATTATTTATATACCTCCTCCGTCCCAATTTAAAGAAAGAAAATACTTAAAAACTCTAATTGAGTATCTCTAATCTATCCCTAATGACATGGAACGGATCATGTGAAGGGGGATCCACATTCTTCTCTTATTCTCTATCTCTTTCACCTCATTAGAGGTAAAAATGGGAGTGATGTATTAGGGGAATGTATCACCACTCAAAGACATGTAATCATTACATTTTAATTCAAATTTTGAAACATTTTCCCCACCAATGCCCTTCTATTTGAATTTTAAAATATGTTTATAATGATTATAAGGGGCAATTTTGAAAATCTAACAAAATTTAGTATCCCAAAATAAAAAGTGGACAAACATTTCGAAACAGGCTAAAATGAAAAGATGGACCAACAAAATGATATAGAGAGAATATCATTTAAAAACAGTTGTCATTTTCTTTTTCTTTTTCTTTTTCTTTTTTTTTTCTTTTCTTTTCTTTTTTGTATATAAATGTTTTGAAAGTAAATAAAAATTAAAAAATAAATCGATATATTTGATGAGTTGTTGAGATGGTAGCTGACAATATAGGATGGTCGAATGTGGTGGTTGACGGTGGGGGTGGCTAGAGTGTCACATGAGGTCACGGGTGGCCAAAGCAGTCACCGAGCCACTCTCAACTCCTTCAATTGTTAACTATTTGGCCCCATTATGCACTTGAGAAAGGCACCAAAATCTAAATAGGTATTCCAGCAGCTTCTAGCCTATGTTTAAGTGACACCAATTCTTTTCTTTTCTTTTTTTAATCCTTTTCCTGTCAATGTTTTTCATCAACAATGATATAAAACACAAAGATCTGCTCTTAGAAATCTGTCATCTGGAGTGAGACTGAAGGTGACTACAACCTTTTTGATAGAAACAGTGAAATTTCACTCTAATCAACTCACTCTGTGGTATTTCTTTACGTTATCAAATACAAATGATAGTGATTACATGACAGAAATCTTTTACAAGACAACATTCAAAAACAAAAACAAAAACAAAAACAAAAAACAAAACAACAAGAAGAAAAATCACAGATGAAAGTGAATTTGACGAATCGGGTTGATCAAACCACCTAAGCATAACATCCTGAGTACCTCATAATTTAGCATTCACAAACCATATTTTTACACAACATTCACAAACCATATATATTTAACATCCTGAGTGCCACATAATTTTGCCTTCGTGCTCTATGGCTCACAAATTTGTTTGAGTATTGCTTCAGTATCAGAACCAAAGGCTCCATAACTGTTGACAAAATCTTTGTACAGGAAGGTACTGTATTGTGGTGCATTTAAACCATTAACCAAAGCCTTTGCGGGTTCCACAACACAATCAGAAGGAGGATTAATGAACGTCGAGATTGTTGTCCTCGTAACTGTTGAATTTGCCACAGCTCGGTGTTCAGGACTTTTGAGCTTCCCGTTGCTGATAATCTGCATGGATGTGAAATTTAACTGTGAAACTGACTAAATCAATCACCGACAAAATCTAACAAATAATAGTCATCTAATTGTGATTTAGTCTCAGATCAAAAAAAAAAAAAAATTGTGATGTAGTAGTGGAAACATGTAGAAACAGAATTTGTAATCACGAAAATCACGGCAATTTTTCTATAACTCTACTGATTCCTAAGAATGCTAGAAAAATGAGAGGTTTACATAGCTATATAATGAAAGAACATCCTAACAACATTAGGAAACAACCAATTAAGTTGATTCTTGGCTAATCACATTTAAATCGAAAAAAATAAAAACAAATATTTGGTAAATTTGAGGCACAAATTTTGATGCTGCAAAGAAAAAGAAACAAATGACATTGAAAAATGAGAAATTTTTCCTAAACACAAAAAAAATCGCTAATTTGGATGCCTAAACAATGAAATCTGCCTGAAAACTAGCCAAAGTCACTGCAAAGTGGTGAGTTTTACTTGTTGGGTTGTTTCTAATCAAACACGGGCTTTCGGAGAAAATCTGCCAACGTTGGGCCGAGCCCATAATTACTATTTTGTCATCCAACAGTCAAACTGATCCAAGTATTGAACTGTCATCATGTCCTCATCAGCTTGTTACAAATAGTCATGTATTTAATTTAATCATCAGTAAAGAACCAGGATAATTTTTAAGATTCAGCAATTTTGAGAACATATTCACAAGTGATGTGGAGTACCAGGCTCCAAGGACAATTTTTGGATTATCATGAAAAGTTGCAAAGAAAACCTCTAAATCAATAAGACAAAATTAATTAAGTAAATGATTGATGTGGAAATAATAAATTTGAAAAAGAGTTTGCTCATCGACGGAACCATACGTAAGAATTCTACTTCAATTTTGTTGTGATTTTGTTGTCACAACCATTTGTCTCGGGACATGTTCTTCACAATTTTGTTGTTTTACAGCTTTAGAAAGGCAGGACTCATTCTTTATACTTATAGAGGCATTCAATTGGACCAAATCATAGCAGTGGGACATGTACTGAAATGAAAAATGGGCTGCCTAAGTGATTTGAGTTCTTAATGCTATTACTAACCGGGTTAATTTGCTGACCAATATTTACTAATCATGTTCTAAAACCAGGATAGAGATATACCTCCAACTGATTGCCAATGTTAACCACGAATGCGCTTGGAAGAGCATCAACACCAACCCATTGTCCATCCTTGACCACTTGAAGCCCAGGCACGTCTTGGAGAAGAATAGTAATGATGCTAGGATCACAATGTCTCAATATTCCAAGGGTTAAACTGGGGTCCGGGCATGGTGGGTAATAATTAGCCAACATTAGCTGAAGTTGGCTCGACTCCTTGAAAAAACCCGGTTCCAGTCCCAATCCTCGGGAAATTAGCTCCAAAATCCTCAAACTAAGCTCCTTTACTTCAACCAAATATTTCGAAACAACCTCCCTAAAAACCACACTCATCATTTAGTTATGATGCCAGAAAAAAAAAGACCAATTCACAAAGGGATTTATCATTTACATGGTTTTGCAAGCCTTACCGGTATATTGTAGGCTTTTTGGGGCTCAATTGTATGCATTTCTCCAAAGGGTGACAAGGCTGTTTCAAATTTTCCCTCCACAAGTGAACACCATCTTTGGCATACCCGGTACTACTCGTGTAGATCAAGCCACTTTTATTGACCATGCTTTCCTTATCCTCAACTGTCATGCCAAAGAACTCCTTGAAATTTCTCATCATGTCAAGTATTGAATTTTCCGATACTCCATGGTTGATCACCTGCCAAACAATATTATACAAGACAGTAATTGGACACACACAATCATATGGAAAAAAAAAAAAAAAAAAAAAGTCCAACAATTTGCAAATACATCGCATAGTTAAGATTAAAAAAGGTTAAAAAAAAATTGAAAATTTGTACCTGGAAGATTCCAAAATTCTCACTTGCTTCCAAAATTTGCTGAATTATATCATATTGATCTTCACCAAGTGATTTTCCAAGGTCAATGACTGGAATGGCCTTGCATAGAGGAGCAATTAATTTTCCAGGTCTGGTTTCGGGTGGGAATACATAACCCTCTGGCACAGATTCAACATTAAACCAGCTCGAAGAATGCTTCTCCATCGTCTCAATGCTAAGTCTTTTTGGTCTCCCAAAATATGTGTTTTGATTCCAAAGGTGTGAACAACATGTTGACAACAATGGGTTGCTTTTAAAATTAAAATTGCCTGCAAAGCTTACCCCTTCTGTATCAGTCAACTCATGAATTCAATATTATTTTATTATCCAAAGGGGATACATAACTTTCCTAAGTTTAGTATATGATCACATTTTTGCAACTTGAATGTTAAGTGTCCCCAACTTGAATAAAATAGTATTAGTGGCCTAATAGCTAGGCCAGGCAGCTTCTAGTTTGGATCCCAACTCAGAAGTCAGGGGTTTAAACTAAATATTAACATAATTAATAATGTTTTCACGACTACCCAAAAATAAATAAATAATGATGATGATGATCATGATGATGGTTACAATTTTAATTATAGTAAATATTAGGATGTTGTTACTGCTATCGATAAAAAAAGACATGGTAATGATCACAGAAAATTAAGATGACAATGAAAGCATTATGAAATCCTTAAATTAATCAAAAAGATAATTGTGAAATAGGCTAATAGCAAGATTATTTGTTGAGCCAAGTACAGTCTTTTTGGCATTTTCATGGTATGTGGAAGAAATATAGTAATGTAATGTATATTCTGCAAAGATTAAGGAACTACTAATCTTGGAAAGTAAGAGTTGACAACGAGCAAAATAACAATAAAGTAATGAATAATTATAACAAAAACAGTACTTAAGTGTGACAATAATTGAAAGGGAAGCCCATGTTGCAATATAAAATATGAACCACCTCCGGCAACAAATGTTTAAAAAAATGACTTTCGTGTCTGACAATCGACAAAGAAAATATGGTATTCACAAAGATGAAGGTTCAGAGCAAGAGGCGGTAACAAATAGGCATGTGAAAACAGACTAGCTAGTTAGATTCTATGCACCATGTTCAAGATATATTGATAATCGAGGAAGTATCATATGAAAAATTGGCCTAATACTGCTGAAGACTTGCCGCATAACAGGAATAAATTGGGGGGGTTTTGTATATCAAGAACACTGCTGGTAAGTCCTAGAAGCTATGCCTGAAGTTTTGGCACCAATTTGGCCACCATTGTATCCAGCAAATGGCCATTTTTTTTGCTTGTGCTGGAAATCATGCCGCCCCCAGTGCCAAGTCTTCCAATGAGTCGTTAACACAGATTTAAATGCTTGGAACATTGAGACCCCGGTAAGTTGGTGATGCAGTGTGATTGACAACTAGTTCAAGGAGCAGGACTAGTTTGACCATTTGATGGCAAAACTTCAATTTTGCTGATTTTCCAAGGCTTTCAGATCAAGCCCAAATTTTACTAATTTTCCAAGGCTTTGCAGTGACCCGTGCTAGATTTTGCACAAACTCCATTGTTTGGCCTTCAAATTAGAATTTTTTTTTTTTTTAAATATTTGAATGCTTAATTCTAAGATCTAGACAAATCCACTCTAAATCACGATTTTTCTGGAAATTTCATATTTATTCTAGATTCTAGATTTGAACTAACTCAAATTCTGCATTCTAAGTAGTTTTGACTTCGTGTAATTTTAGCTCAATTTGGGGCATGAATTGTGGTTTGGTTGCCAAGCAATATTTACTATGAATCGGATTGTAAGCCTTTGAGAATAGGGTTTGTTGTTTGAGTAATAAAAATCCAGAGAAGTTTTATCTCTATGAAGTTATTTTCTTTCATTTCATACGCTTCCCTGCATCAGTTGGCAATACCACTTTGAGACTTTTAGCTAGTTACACTACTATTCCTTGTACTGTACTCTTAGTCCATCTAATGTTTTACCAATTGCATTACAAGACCTAAACCTAGCATCTTTTAAACATTGGATAGACCAAAACCCCCTTACCAAAAGTGTAACTTGCTATACAGAGCTTCCACAAGTCAGACCACTTAATATTCCACAGACTGCAAGAGCAAGTAGGCCCAAGTACAAACCATTATGTCTTGACAACATTTCTTATTCAACATATGGCAAATCAACAGTGTTTTGACATCGGTCACAATAGCATATTCATTTTTTGCATGTTATTACTCAAGCTTGGAGCTTGTAAGGCTCCAACACAGTATTGGTGTCACCAGTCTTTGCTGTGTAGTTTGCAAGAAAATCCTTGTATTGGAAGGCCCTGTATAGCGGAGGACTCCCTCCATTGATCAGCGCTTTAGCGGGTTCTACAATGCTGTCATGACAAGGGTTAAAGAAAGTGACGATTGTAGTCCGAGCATTGTTAGAATTTGTCACTGCTCGATGTTTGGCGTTTTTTAACTTCCCATTGCTGATAATCTACAACAAAATCAAAGACATATATACATACATGATTTTTAATGCCTACAACAAGGATAAGAGTTAATTTAAGAATTAAAAATGGGATTCGATAAAAATATGAGATATTCAGTCCTAAATGGTAGTACTCTTCTTTTCTTTTTTTCTTTTTCTTGTTTTATTTTGTTCTTTTGCCTTTTTACAAGTGTAAGTGCATGAGTTCTAGCATTACACACTAGTCGTGTAATTGTGAGTAAGAGACAAGAATAGACTCTATTTCCAAGATAGAGAATCCCATAAATTTTATGGAGTATGTACTGATATCTAGTTGGCTTTTGGGGCCACAATTGAATGCATTCCTCTGAAGGATGACAAGGGCGTCTGAGATTATCCCTCCAAAAGTGAACCTCTTCGTGGCCATAGTTGTAGCTGCTCGTGAAGAGCCTACGGAGATGACTGGGATCGTCAGAGTAGACACTGGCCTTGTCATCAGCTGGCATGTCGAAAAACTCCTTGAAGAGATCCATTGTTTCGTCCATTAAATTTTCTGAAACTCCATGGTTGATCAGCTTTTTGTAAAATGCAAAATATGGTTTACCATTTTGCGAGAGTCAGAATCAAGATGCACATATTGAACTAGCTATCATGCGAACCTGGAAGAATCCAAACTCTTGGCTAGCATTGAGAACTTTTTTGATTATAATGTTTCGATCACGAGCCTCTGCCATTGAAAGATCAATCACTGGAATGGTTTTGCATAGAGGAACAATTAGCTTCCCAGGTCTTATATCTGGTGGAAATATATAACCTTCAGGAATGGTTCGGATGCTAAACCAGCTTGAAACAAGCTTTTCCATGGTCTTGCAGTGATAACTCAATCAGGAAAAAGATGGGTTTTGAAGAAGTTGAGTGCAAAAATGGGTTCTGGAATTTCTTGCAAGCTTGCACTCTACCATGTCCAACCACAAGGTATGTTTACTAACTCTTGAAGATAAATATTAAAATTAAAAAATCAAAACAAATCAAATCAAAGGGAGTTTGACTTCGTGAAATTGTGAATTGCCACGTTGATGATAGATCATTTGATTGGCCCCCAATTGTAATTGAATAAAAAAATTATGATGGTTGAGAATAATAAGTCAAGAGTAGACCACACTTAAGGACAAGTCATCTTGATGTGAATGAAAGGAATTGGATGCTCTGCTGCGTCTTTTGGTGAGGTCCATTATAGATTTATTTTTATGATTTGAATCGTTCATTTTGTAAAGATTAATAAGTAAATCATTCATGTAAATTATTAAGTCGAGCAAATATCACATGTCTTTAAAAAATTGTCTATCTATCCTCAAATTATATCACTATTAATGTTTGATCAATTTAATTTTTTATTACTAGGTAAATCTTACAAGATAAACCGTTTAATTAATGAAAGTGAATTCAAACCCCTGACATGTTGCAACATAAACGAACTGCCCTGGTTGAAATCAATCTGATGGAAGGCCATGGCTTGCTGACCAAATGTATGTAACTGAAAAATGAGAAGAAAATTATTATTTGATCCAAAAAAAAATTACCTATTAAAAAAATGAGTATATATAAACAATACTCTTTTCCATTTATTTCTCCCTTGATGAATTCAAGATTCAGCCACAACCAAATTCTTCCAAGGAAAAGCATAAAAGTTTGAACAATATCCTCTCTTGCATAACTGAACAAAAAAATCAGGTCCAGAAAATTGATTTATAAACTAAACAAAATCATATAAAAATTTCATTTAGTATCACTGACATTTTCGCAATTATGAATAAAAAAATTATTATTTTGAATTAAAATGAAAATACCACATAAACAAAGTTCAAAAGACCAATCCTTCAGTCATAAATAATATACATGAATTGATAAAATTTTCAAGTATGTTAGTAGTGTCTATTTTTTAAAAAAAATTATTTATTTATATACATTTTGTGTCTAGTTCTACAATTAATTTTTGTGATGGGGCACTTACCTATCTGTCTCAAACAGAAAGGATTGAGTCAGCTCAAGCTCTGTCTGTGTCCAAAGATTATTGACTGGTCCAAAAGCACTACGTGATCATATTTTAGACCAATCACGAATTTTCATATCTCCTCATATGCTCTAATCATCCAACACAAAATCATAAGTCTCACTTCTTTCACCAATCACAATATATATGAAGCGCCGCAGCGCCGCGTGATACTGTTTCTACACCAACCAATAACTTCTCATCTATCTCAGCTTGCACATGTGTTCGTTTCCCCATTCATATGCTAGTCCACTTTCTTTTCTTTTCTCTTCTTTTTTAATCTTGGTAGATCTTTGACTTGACTTCTTAACAGTTCATCCACTCTCTCTCTCTCTCTCTCTCTCTCTCGCCAATTTCTATTTGAATATTTCCTGTATATGATTCAGTTGTAATGTTTGATTTCTACTCAAGATCTTATGAATCCTATCTACAACGATGAATCCTAATCTCTCACTCCAATCAAGAACCACCAAAGCTCAACCTATCAACAACCTAACTTCCCTATGTTAGCCATTGCAGTACTCTGCATCATGGCCGCGGCTTTTTTACTAGTAAGCTACTACATCTTCCTCACCAAATGCTGCTTCAACTGGCAACAACTCGACCCCCTCCCACGCTTCTCTCTCTCCCGACCACAACGACACGAAGACCCATTAACAGCTTACTCTCCCTCCCTGCAGAGCCACGGACTCGACGAATTGTTGATTCGTGAAATCCCAACTTTCCAATACAAAAGTGGTGAAGAGAGAAGTATATATGAGTGTGTGGTTTGCTTGAATGAGTTTCAAGAACAAGATATGCTGAGAGTGTTGCCTAACTGTGGTCATGGGTTTCACTTGGATTGCATTGACATATGGCTACAGACCAATGCCAATTGCCCTCTCTGCAGATCAAGCATTTCGGGCACCACAAGGTATCCGATTGAACGGGTTGTTGCGCCAACCTCTTCACCTCAGGATCCACTGCCATTTGTGGATACCCATTTGGGTGGTAATGAAGATTTTGTGGTTATTGAATTGTCTGGAGCTGATAGAACAGAAATAAATGACTTGAGGCAACAGAGGAGTCGACATTCGCCAAGAAAGTTTGAGAAGAAGATTGGGAAGGCGAAGCCAAGAAAGTTTCAACATGTTTCAATCATGGGTGATGAGTGCATTGATGTAAGAAGAGAGGAAGAGGATGAGTTCTCTGTCCAACCCATCAGGAGATCTTTCTCAATGGATTCGGCGAGTGATCCAAACGTTTACTTGGCAGTTCAAGAGATTATACGACAGAATCAGTGTTGCAATGAGGTTAGACAGAGTGAAGAGTCTAGCAGCAGAGTCCGAAGACAGTTCTTTCCCTTCGGACATGGACGGGGATCTAGAAGTGCAGTTCTTCCTATTGAGTTTCAGCAGTAAATCACAAAATTCATTCTCATTTGTTAAATTTCTTTCTGTATTGATCATCTTTGATTTTGTGATTCTGATAGTGAAACTCTTACAAGTGAATTGATTTTAGTTTTTCATGAAAAAGATTAGATGAGTGTTGATAGATTTTGGGATGATATTTACACATAGAAGAGTTTTGTCTATTGCTGAAATGTGATAATTGCCTAAACCATGAAATGTGATAATTGCCTAAACCATGAAATGTGATAATTGCCTAAACCATGAAATGTGATAATTGCCTAAACCATGAAATGTGATAATTGCCTAAACCATGAAATGTGATAATTGCCTAAACCATGAAATGTGATAATTGCCTAAACCATGAAATGTGATAATTGCCTAAACCATGAAATGTGATAATTGCCTAAACCATGAAATGTGATAATTGCCTAAACCATGAAATGTGATAATTGCCTAAACCATGAAATGTGATAATTGCCTAAACCATGAAATGTGATAATTGCCTAAACCATGAAATGTGATAATTGCCTAAACCATGAAATGTGATAATTGCCTAAACCATGAAATGTGATAATTGCCTAAACCATGAAATGTGATAATTGCCTAAACCATGAAATGTGATAATTGCCTAAACCATGAAATGTGATAATTGCCTAAACCATGAAATGTGATAATTGCCTAAACCATGAAATGTGATAATTGCCTAAACCATGAAATGTGATAATTGCCTAAACCATGAAATGTGATAATTGCCTAAACCATGAAATGTGATAATTGCCTAAACCATGAAATGTGATAATTGCCTAAACCATGAAATGTGATAATTGCCTAAACCATGAAATGTGATAATTGCCTAAACCATGAAATGTGATAATTGCCTAAACCATGAAATGTGATAATTGCCTAAACCATGAAATGTGATAATTGCCTAAACCATGAAATGTGATAATTGCCTAAACCATGAAATGTGATAATTGCCTAAACCATGAAATGTGATAATTGCCTAAACCATGAAATGTGATAATTGCCTAAACCATGAAATGTGATAATTGCCTAAACCATGAAATGTGATAATTGCCTAAACCATGAAATGTGATAATTGCCTAAACCATGAATGGATAGAACTCTAATTATTCTGTTTTGAAAATGATGTTTTTACCCATTCTGATTTTATCTAGAATGCCCTAGAGAGAAAAAATGATATTACACGTGATGGAAGCACCAGCATAGTGCACCCATTACATACAACTTTCTGCTTTTATTTAGAATGTCTCGGAGAGAGAAGAAGATATTATATGTAACAGGTGCACTTACGCTGTGTTTGGTCGACTCCTCTGTTGTCCTTTGGTTTCTCTCTCTGCAAATCAAGCAGGTTTTGTTGTGGGCTTTGGGGCAAAATCTGTAGAGGAGTCCTTTCATCTCTCTGCTCCTCCTCTATTCTATTTATTATATACATAGATAATTCATGTATTTGTTTGTATTGTTTAAAAAACAGAGGAGGAGCAGAGAGATGAAAAGGTGATTGAGAGGGCTTATAAAAAGCTTGCTCTTGATGCTTTGGTGATCCAACAAGGGCGATTAGCAGAACAAAAGAGTAGGTTGTTTTTGTAGAGTTTACCTTATCATGAATTTATATTCAAATTAATGTGAGTAAAATACTTTGATAGTTTATTGATTATTTTTTAATTTGTTTTGGCAGCTGTTAACAAAGATGAGCTGCTGCAAATGGTGAGGTTTGGTGCTGAAATGGTTTTCAGTTCTAAGGATAGCACAATTACCGATGAGGATATAGATCGGATCATTGCTAAAGGAGAAGAGGCAACAGCTGAGCTTGATGCTAAGATGAAGAAGTTTGCTGAAGATGCAATCAAATTCAAAATGGATGATAGTATGTGGATTGATATCGAGATTTATTTATTAAACATTTTTTTACTTTATGCTTTTGCAACTGAGGCTAAGTGCAACCTGTCTGGGTTTTCGCAGCTGCTGATCTATATGATTCAAGCAGAATAGATGGCTTAAGCAACCTGTAACAGAAGGAAAAAGCTCCGGCGGTGGTTCTTCCACCCGGGGGCACTCCGACGATCAAGTCAGTATATCTCTCAAAGATAATCAAGTACTAAATTGAATACTCAAAGTATAAATTACATACCTTAGACCCATGGGGGTGCCTCTCTTTTATAATATACTCAATCCAAGTCCCACTAGAAGTATGACTTCTATGAATTCTGATTCACTGTTTACTCTGGACTCTTTTAAGGGATAAAGATAACTCCTTGAGAGTTTTATCCTTATCTAGATTCAGCCCCCTTTGTGCCTTAGGACTCTTGCCCCTTATCTCGGACTCCGATATCTTCGGAGATGACCTCGGCTTCTCCGAAATTACCTCGGCTTGACTACCAGGGCACGTGGCACCTCGGCTGACACGTCGGCGTCACCATGCCACGTGTTGGTATTCAGAAAATATATCCCCACATATATATATATATATATCTCCATCACATGCTATAGATTCATAGCTTAGAGTTAATGAATGTATCAATGCATGTGACCTCATCTTCATACTACATTAAAGGAATTAATGAAAGAGAGAATGATCCAGTAATATGCCTTTAATGAATGATTGAATCTTATGAGCTTCCGTATGTCTATTGAGTATTACAAGGGTATCTATTGAGAGTTATTAGTGTATCTATTATTATTTCGGGGCATTACATTTACCAAGGAGGGTTTCAAATCATTCGTGGCTATGGCTTAGAAGTTGATAACCTCTATGGTGAGATTTTGAGTATAACTTGGTAAATTACACCAATAATTTTAATAAATTTGTGTGTAATTATACTTGCATTTATATTGTAATGTTGTGAATATCATGCTTATAATCTTATTATTTTTCCTTAAGAAGAAAGATATGTTTGTTGTGTTGTCTTTCTGGGCTTTGCAGTTTATGACGTTTTATGCCAAGTTTTGATAATGAAGAAATGGAAGCTAAAAACGAGGTTAACGATACTGTGGAACTTGGTTGACTTGAAACCATGACTAGAGCCAAATAAATTTTATCACTTAGTGTTTTAGCTATTAAGTCCTTTATGCTTTCAGTTGGTGTTGTATCTAGATATTTTTATTTTTTATTTTAGTGTTGTTTGAACTTATAGTTATGTATTAGAGTTGAGATTTTCAAATAAGATGGTAAATTTTTATTTAGTAAGTCTTATTTTTTATTTAAATTCCCTTGACGTTCCAAAATTTTGGGATGTCACATAAATCTCAACTTGGTTGTATGTTCAAGTTTGTGGAGTCCATCATTAGATTTATTTTTATGATTTGAATCGTTCATTTTTTGTAGATTAATAAGTAAATCATTCATGTAAATTATTAAGTCGAGCAAATATCACATGTCTTTAAAAAATTGTCTATCTATCCTCAAATTATATCACTATTAATGTTTGATCAATTTAATTTTTTATTACTAGGTAAATCTTACAAGATAAACCGTTTAATTAATGAAAGTGAATTCAAACCCCTGACATGTTGCAACATAAACGAACTGCCCTGGTTGAAATCAATCTGATGGAAGGCCATGGCTTGCTGACCAAATGTATGTAACTGAAAAATGAGAAGAAAATTATTATTTGATCCAAAAAAAAATTACCTATTAAAAAAATGAGTATATATAAACAATACTCTTTTCCATTTATTTCTCCCTTGATGAATTCAAGATTCAGCCACAACCAAATTCTTCCAAGGAAAAGCATAAAAGTTTGAACAATATCCTCTCTTGCATAACTGAACAAAAAAATCAGGTCCAGAAAATTGATTTATAAACTAAACAAAATCATATAAAAATTTCATTTAGTATCACTGACATTTTCGCAATTATGAATAAAAAAATTATTATTTTGAATTAAAATGAAAATACCACATAAACAAAGTTCAAAAGACCAATCCTTCAGTCATAAATAATATACATGAATTGATAAAATTTTCAAGTATGTTAGTAGTGTCTATTTTTTAAAAAAAATTATTTATTTATATACATTTTGTGTCTAGTTCTACAATTAATTTTTGTGATGGGGCACTTACCTATCTGTCTCAAACAGGAAGGATTGAGTCAGCTCAAGCTCTGTCTGTGTCCAAAGATTATTGACTGGTCCAAAAGCACTACGTGATCATATTTTAGACCAATCACGAATTTTCATATCTCCTCATATGCTCTAATCATCCAACACAAAATCATAAGTCTCACTTCTTTCACCAATCACAATATATATGAAGCGCCACGTGATACTGTTTCTACACCAACCAATAACTTCTCATCTATCTCAGCTTGCACATGTGTTCGTTTCCCCATTCATATGCTAGTCCACTTTCTTTTCTTTTCTCTTCTTTTTTAATCTTGGTAGATCTTTGACTTGACTTCTTAACAGTTCATCCACTCTCTCTCTCTCTCTCTCTCTCTCTCTCTCGCCAATTTCTATTTGAATATTTCCTGTATATGATTCAGTTGTAATGTTTGATTTCTACTCAAGATCTTATGAATCCTATCTACAACGATGAATCCTAATCTCTCACTCCAATCAAGAACCACCAAAGCTCAACCTATCAACAACCTAACTTCCCTATGTTAGCCATTGCAGTACTCTGCATCATGGCCGCGGCTTTTTTACTAGTAAGCTACTACATCTTCCTCACCAAATGCTGCTTCAACTGGCAACAACTCGACCCCCTCCCACGCTTCTCTCTCTCCCGACCACAACGACACGAAGACCCATTAACAGCTTACTCTCCCTCCCTGCAGAGCCACGGACTCGACGAATTGTTGATTCGTGAAATCCCAACTTTCCAATACAAAAGTGGTGAAGAGAGAAGTATATATGAGTGTGTGGTTTGCTTGAATGAGTTTCAAGAACAAGATATGCTGAGAGTGTTGCCTAACTGTGGTCATGGGTTTCACTTGGATTGCATTGACATATGGCTACAGACCAATGCCAATTGCCCTCTCTGCAGATCAAGCATTTCGGGCACCACAAGGTATCCGATTGAACGGGTTGTTGCGCCAACCTCTTCACCTCAGGATCCACTGCCATTTGTGGATACCCATTTGGGTGGTAATGAAGATTTTGTGGTTATTGAATTGTCTGGAGCTGATAGAACAGAAATAAATGACTTGAGGCAACAGAGGAGTCGACATTCGCCAAGAAAGTTTGAGAAGAAGATTGGGA